ATCTTATGGTGACATTTTACTGTGAAAAACTGTCTGTATCATTTTAAAGTTTGTTTTTGAAAAATATCATTTGATATTTAGAAAAAAAATTTAGCATTTGGACATCAGCCACATATTCTCGAAACGATCTTAACGCTAGGATGTCCTATGTCCTAGGTTCTTATCTTCTAACATTTATTCTAGGACATCCTAGTGCTAAGATCGTTCCAAGAATACGTGGCCAGGCATCTAAATCTTGGTCATATGTTTTCATGACACAAGAAGTTTACCTCATCAATACATTGAAAGTTTTCCACAAACTGATATAAGTCACGAATAGACGAGGTGGGGTGTATGGTGCAGAATAATCGATACAAATGAAATTAGAATTGAACACATGAGGTACGGTGCAGATACGATTGGCTTCTACTATTTTCTACTGTATTGATAATCCTGCACCTTACACTGTACATCGTCTATTTCCACCTATAGACAGAACTCTGTTTAGAAAATTAAAGGTTTTAGCCTCCTTTAGCTGGACAGTTAAAGTGACCTTATATTAGAGACTGAATGACACTGATATTTTATAATATGTAATTATTAGTGACAACATTGATATAATTATCTCATCAGGTTTTCTAACATTTGAAATAGATTTTGTGAAAATGAGTATTTTGAACAATAAATATATTTAAAGTTTAAAAAGACAAGTGAATATGATTCAAGGAAGATAGATTAAGGTTGAAATTGTCAAATAAAAGATGAATATCCGATGAAGGTGTGTTTTGAATTGACGAAGTATAAAGACGTATAATGGTATATGTCTACAACAGGAAACTAAAATGACAAACTGCCTATGTACAGATTTTGATTTGTTTACCTTTATAGTGCATTGTACATCTTACAAACTGCCTAAATACCAAACCTTTATTTGCCTTCCATTGTCAGTATAATTATTTAGATTTAGTTGGCTTTTTATTTGTGTAGGTTGAATTTTTAAGGTGAAAGAATGAATATTCATGAGGAAAATTAAAAAATTTCAGCACATTGCTACTAATGTCTTAAAAAACTTAGAATTGAATATTATAATAAGATGATAATTAGAGGAAATTAACATGCAATTGAAAAGGTTATTTGAGTTAACATACATAACAAAAATATACTAATTCCTGTTACATTTAGAAGAATCCTTATTGCTGGGAAAAGCCATTTACGTCTAGCAACAAGTAAAGACTAGAACTGTTCCCTTAACAGTAATGATGCAGGGCGTGATACAACATTAAGGTACCGGTACATACAAATAAAATATTAAATATGACACCGGTAAATTAGAGGAAATTAACATGTTTCTGGCCCGTGATTTGCAAGAGAAAAGGTTATTTGAGGTCACATGATATAGAAAATTTAGTTTTCAAGAGCAATTGCTTGCAACCTCTAAAAATATATTATTTCCTTCTGTAACGTTAAGAAAAAACCTTATTGCTAGGAAAGGCCCTACTGATGTTGCAGACTTCTAGCAGCAAGCAAAGATAAACTTGGTTAAGTACATGATCAAACTGCAAACTGCCAATAAACTGCATCCTCTAAGCAGTTATGATAATAATAAGCAGAGATAAGCTTAGTTAATAGCAAGTATGACTATTTCAACTGGCTCCATTGTACAGCAATTCACCTCAACCAAATATGTGTAACATTCCAAGTGGAGGCGTAGAATTGTAAACAGAAGTTGGGTGAGATACAGGTTTAGTAGAAGTTTGAATCTAGCTGACTATACTGCAGGCAGTGGGATATACTAACATTCTAGTTTAAATCATACACATTATGAACAGTGAGATGTCTAGTCTAAAATGGGGATGGATTTTACTAATTTTAAATCAGTGAAAAGTCTACAGCCTTTTTTTGAAGTAGGTGATTAATTTGAATAATGATTATTTTCTGTTAAACTGTATTGATAGTTATATATTGCTATTTATTTATACTTTATAGATTTTATGATATTTTGACAAGCCTATTTATATAAACCTAGTGCTAATATGGTTGCCTCTGGCAGTTCAAATTTGTTAAAGTGATACTACGTCTTGGAATGAATATAAAATTTAAGTTTTCTAAAAGGTCAATATTAGTCTATATTCATCAGTGAACTTACCTGGTGTCATAACGTTATAACAGAATCCCTGTAAAATCTAGAAAATTGGAAAGTTCATAAAGCTAATTAATTATTGAAAAACGCTTATTCTTGATATTAAGCGTTTTTCAATAGCTAATTGCATATTTATGGATAATTACTAAGTTTTTTGGATTTATCGGATTATATAAGGATCCAGTTATGTTATTTATGACACCAGGTATATCTACTGGCTCTTATTCGCCAAGTTTATAATTCTTTAATTTTATATTAATTCTAAGACATAGTATCATTTTAACATCTCATTCAAGCTGAACCTATCCTTCAGATTTTGGAGAATCAGGTGACTTGAATTTTGCAATGAATGGCAAATCACTGACAGCTAGAAACAGTCAAGTGAAACTCGAGCAAAAATAGAATTACTGGCAGGACATTCAATGTCAGATAGTCCTTGAGCTCAGGTGTGTGTTACGTGATGCCATGCCAACGTAATATTTAGTAAATATTGGTACCGACGAATCTATGATAGTCACTAATTATCATCTCGATCTGTATTTGAAATAGACAAAAAATTCATTCCCTACAGTCAAAAATACACTTTTCGTTTGAAATATGAATAAATATATATTAACCCTTATAACATTAATTGAATATAAATGAAATAAAACGCCATATAACCTGAACTCCAAGTAATATAACTTAAAGCATATGACTTATGTAACGTCATTTGGTTAGGGCAGCTTTACCTAAGGCTCAGGAGTATATTGCAAGGACTGAACTGGTTAAATAAAAGGCAATATTCTAATCAGGAATAGAGCTTGTTATGTTAAAGTTAAAACAGTAGTATGTGATATCACTGATGAATAAACTAAATTGTAACTGCACAGTGAATAACTTGACACAAGTTCAGTGTGTAAACAGTTAGACAGGGTGTCGCACTGTGTTCAAATTCATTTGTAAATAACTTCTCAGCTTTACACTTGACATAATTTTTTTAAAACAAATTTGGGCTAAAGCTGGAATATGATCTGAGTTATTCACCTAGTAGCTTGATGATCTACCAGGGGACTAATTAATGTGTTTCAAGTTCATTCTGAGGTCTATTTATTATTGAGACTTATAATTATTTTGACAAATGATGTTCAGAAAGTTTAGAAAACTGTGCTACATGAATATTAAAATGATTTCATGGGTCCTCAATCTTTTGCACCAACATTTTTCATGGTGATTGTTTTTTTAAAAATAAATTATGTTTTGATTTAGAGCAAGGTCGTTGTGACTCTTGTAATATCTTCAATCTTTATATATTTTATCTTTCTTCCCACGTTGTAGAAATATTTCTGGTGATGATAATTTAATAGGAATAAGGAACATTCTCAATTAAAAAAATAAATTATGTTTTGATTTAAAGCAAGGTCGATGTGACTCTCTTAATATCTTCAATCTTTATATATTTTATCTTTCTTCCTCCGTTACCTATCTATTTCTGGTCATGATATTTTAATTAGATTAATTTGAAGAACATGAACGAACATTGTCATTTGATTAGACAGGTGTATATTTATAATACATGTAATACAAGTTTACTGTGACACATTAAACCTGTACCAGTACATATAGAGATATATAATTATATAATATAATATATACTGGTCCCTGTTAGATTATTAACTGTTTAATAAACTCTGTTACAACTAGTAGTTTACTTGATAAGGATGCCGTCTGTATGTTTAAATATTTACATTTTTACTATTTTCGATAAAGTGTAGTTTATCACGTAATACTATGGCGTCTTCAAAGTACAACAATGACACAATCTAAAATTTATGGCAAATTCAAGAAACCGATCATATAAAAAAGTGAAAATATTGTTAATAAAAGTATCTGAATATAAATATAAGAATTAAACGTTGGTCTCACTAGCATTATTGGTGTGTAAACACAGTTGGTCACGCCACAAACATACATAAATGACTTCGTCAAATGAGTTTAATAATGCATGTACATATTGTTAATATAGATATACAAGTACTGGTATATATGTAATGTAGAATGTACCTGTTAGATACCAGCATGTTTCATAAACTTTATTACAAGCAGTAGTTTGCTGGTACATGTATATTTCTATTAGTATGCTGTCTGTGTATGCTTTAATGTAGGTTATAGGAGTTTGATGATGTATGTACTTTTTGTAGAATGTACAGTGTATGTTAATATTATCAAAAAAGAGAAATATGTTAAAACAATGCATAAAACTTAAACCATTGCTAAATGCCTTTTAGATACTTGTCTGAATTACATGAATACAGATACCATGTTCCTTTAGCAAAGGTGTACAACGTTTATCATATCGTAACATTGCCTTCAAAATTGTCTTCATTAATGACTTATAATCTCCCTTGACAGTCCTTTCATCACAATTCAATTTATCCAATCAGGGATGAATTTTCTACCAATCAAAATTAATGACAATATTGTGTTGTGAAAGCAAAGGTTAGATGTGATCAACATTATACACCATTGCTAAAGGAACAAGTCATTGGACATTGTCACATTGTCAAGCTATTACTAACTCTGTCTTATACCTTGACTGCAATAGCCACCTTTCTTGTGTCATTGAAGTTTGTAAATGAAGCGATTTGATTGGATTGTAGGCAAACTAATACAACCAATGTGAACAGAAAGCCATAATGTTTCAGCCTTTCTGTCAAGGGCTCTGATTAGCTGTCAGCTTGTGTGTACAATCCAACCAAATTGCTGCATTCCGTGATAGTGGTTATTGCAGTCAAGGTATAAGTATGAAGCTTGTAATAGCTTGATATTGTGAAGATAGTCATTGGATGGCAGATTGTATTATCATACGTTGTATAATGATATTATATTTTATATATTCCAGGGCCAGGAAGGGTTTGAAGAGTTAAGGAAGTATGTCAAACAAGGGGGAGAATTCTGTAAGGAAGTAGCCTCAATCATACAAGAAAGGTAGGAGACGATATATTGTTTTGAAACATTCTTTAGCTTTCTGTCTGTGCATGTTAAAGATCCCTCAACAGTTGGAAACAAGTGGGTTATCCATGCAAAATTTCCCTCATTGCACACTGCATGACATTGTTGGTGACGATATATTATTTTGAAACATTCCTTAGCTTTCTGTCTGTGCACGTTAAAGATCCCTCAATAGTTGGAAACAAGTGGGTTATCCATGCAAAATTTCTCTCATTGCACACTGCATGACATTTCTGGTTTTCAGCTGCCCAATTAGGTGTCTAAGAGTAGGACGAAAAACTCAATTAATTTCATTTCATTTTTATTTTTCGGTGATTTTTAGGGCAACAATGTGATAAGATTTCAGCCAAACTGTTTTCTTCTGTGTCAAATCCCATAGAAAACCTCCTTAAAATTTCGGCATCTTTGTTTATGTTTGAAAGGGCCGTTGAGTGCAAATGAATATTGATAAACCAAATAGACAATTGATAACGAACATATGTTAATGAGTATAATTAGCTAGTAATATGTTGTCTGTTGTCAATGATAAAGGTATGAGGACCTATGAAGTATAGTCAATGTTACTATCTGTATATATATTTAACAACTAGTGTTTGATTAGTACTAGAAGTTAAACTGGACTCAGACTTGTTAAATATCTCCATCAAACACTTAAAATACCTCACACATTGTCTTTATTGATTCTAGGATTATCTTTCCTTGTTTAGAGATTAACTCCCCTTTTAAACCTGTTTATTGCCTTCTGTGTGTCTGTTGTTAGAAATATCATGTCATATTTTTAGAAAAAAAATGGAAAGAATGGAGTTTTACGTCCTACTTTTCTGCATCTAATGAGCTGATGATGACGGGCAATGCCATGCAGTGTGCAATTAAGAAAATTGTTTCAGGACAACGTCATTAGCCTACTCTTTTTTGATTACCAATTGTTAAAGCATGTGGCACAATGTTAATTGGTATCAAGTGGCTAAGATAGAACAATAAACTGAGCCACAGAGCCCTTGACATGTTGGATACCATGGGGTGCGCATTATACACGGGTGCGCATTATATTCGGAAATATACGGTAGTTCATTGATTTTAAAGATAGTTCAGTGAAATTCCCTGATTGCCCACTGCATGTCTTCATTAACCTAATTGAGAGAAGAAGGTAGTAAAATTCCATGGTGTCTTGTTTATGAATAATCTATAAATCTGTAATGTTATTTCAGGGCTGATTTAGAGACAACTTATGCTAAATCATTATCAAAACTGGGGAAAAAATTAACCAATGCCTCGGCCGGTACACTTGGGTAAGTTTATAACACCATTTCTCAGAAAGACATTCCATTTGTATTGTTATACATGTATTGTTATTGTTATTATTAGCTGGGTAAACCATACCTCTATTAAGCACCACCCCTTAGTAAGCAGCCACTTTTGAACATTCCCATGACTGGCTGCTTAATACAAGCTAGACTGTATGATAGATACAAGACTTGTCTTCTTTGACTTCAACAATATTAAACTGATCTGAGACTAATTGTCAATAATTGTTGGTATTATTAGTAGATATACTTGGATTATTATACTAGTTGCTAGTTTGTTTAGATTTATTTCATATAAGATTATTTAACTCAGATATACAAAATAATTGTCACGGGGGAAGATGTACAAGGATTGGAAGAAATTTTCTGAGCATAGTTATTATGAAGTTGTTATGTTTTTTCTATTTCATCAAAGTTCCGTTTTCACTCTACATTCTCTTTTTCACTGAATTGCTACGTTTCAACATTGTCAGCTTTTCCCTTCACACACAATGACTGTTTATATTAATGCTTCTTATTTTCGTATAGATACATGAAAAGATTTTGTTTCACAATACAGGTTTTATCTTGAGATGATTATTGATATATCAGAAGAACATTGACTCTTATATTTTCAGTTATTTCAGCTAAAGAAATCATACTACCACAGATAGTATTACCGAGACATCATAGTTAACATATCTAATTATCTTAACCTTTAATTTGCACCTTGTTTTATCATAAATCTTTACTTTGTGACCTAGGCCAGTGCTTTCATGAGACTATTTTCTCATCAACATCTAACACTGTTGTCTCAATAATGATGAAGTTCTCTGATCTCTTGTTATCAACCCTTGTTTTATAGAAATCCCAATTTATCACCTATCATGTTTTTTTTTTCAGATCTCTATCAGATGGCTGGAAGACTGTGGCTGTTGCTATGGAACAGGAAGCAGAATTACACAAGTAAATATTCAAATTTTATTAAAATTCTCCTTAGTTACTCTATTAGAGTTACATGATTAGAGTTTAATACTTTGGTTATAATCCATGGACTGTTATAAAGGTTTCATAACTTATAATGCTGATATCTAAATCATACAGGTGCAGTAATTCAGAATTAAAGGTATATCTATGAATCTAGTCAAAAGAAAAAGGAAGCACTGAACATATTTTTAAAATTTTTCAAGTTATGAGTGTTATGTCTTTATGGTGTTCTCAAGCCAGCAATGTGCGTAAACTGATCCCCCATTCCATCTAAAGCTTCGCACGAAAGGAACAGGTTTGGGGCTATTGTCATCTTATTGTTGATTGGTCGAAATTGGGGTTCCTAGTTGTTAATGCTAAATAGACGCTAACGTGATATTTCAGCCGTACCTGTTGTTAGTGTATCGATAAATGAACACAACAGGGTACCAGTTTACAATGTGTTACTACTTTATTTACCTTCAACACTGAAGACTTTAGCACAATAAGTACATGTATATAGGAGGACAGCACACGATGGCAATATATAACAATCAGAACATGAATTTTATAAAAGATTATATATAATTTATAGAAATCTGGCATCTGGTCTGTATGATGATATCAGTAAGCCATTGAAGACAGAAATTGAACAACATACTAAATCACGCAAACCTATAGAAGCTATGGTAGAAAAATCATTGAAAACTTTAACAGATAGACGAACTGAAGAATACAAGGTTTGTTTTTACTTTTAATCATATTGGTCATGGTTCATTAGTAGACATGTTTCTCAATCTGCTCTCGCTAACCTGGGTCTAGGTTTTGATGATTGAAGACGTACATCTTGCTTTTTATTTGACTTGTTTTTCCACATTAGTGACTCAGATCAGAAGTTCTGACAAGGAAAAGGCTTCTTCTGGTGTGAATAAGACAATTAAACTTTTATTTAAATATTTTTGACTTAGTGTGCAGAGTGGTCTCTTTTAGGAGAATATTACATATCAGTAAATTTGCTATTTCTTGGGTGTTAAGTCTCAGATGTATTTTTTAGCTTTGTCTTGTAAATGAAGGTTTCGATGAACATTTTTTGTCAAATATTATAAAGTCCCTAATATAAAATTTTAGATTAATTTACATCAAATGATGAAAACACTTTTCTTTTAAGATTGTGTTTTAATTTTAGGCAAAGAAAGCAGCCTTCTCGTGTGCTAAAGATTATGAGAAAGCAGAAGATACAGAGATAAAGTCTGGAAAAGCTAAAGACGTCACCAAGGTAGGTAGTGTTGGTCACAGTGTTGTTTGTTCTCACTTGTCGTAGAGTTTTGTCACTAACTTGCTTCTGTGGAAGTTATATCTTAGTTCCAATTTTATACCTCTCTCCTATAGCTATTTTGTTGAAATTTTACAACTGAAATAGTGTTCACAGCATAAGATGAGCTACTCAGATGAAATGACAATTAGATAAACTTTTAACTAAGAAAACAGCTTAAAAATTCTGTTAGAGAATACCTCGAAATTTTGACAAGTTTAGCTCTGATAAGTTCAATAATTTTGACTTGAGAGTTCATAGGTGCTAGATTTATTTTATATTAATGAATGTTTACTAGAGCAAGGGACAGGGGATTGAAGACTCAATGATCAAAAGTATATTCTTTTTATATTTGTTTACCAGAATGAGAAGAAATGTAAACAAACGAGAGACTTGGTGAAGAAAGCTGATAAAGAATATACAGACTGTTGTTATAAAGCCGAGACAGCCAGATTAGACTGGGATTATATTGTTAAAAAATGTAGTTCCAGCATGCAACAGTTAGAAGAAGAACGTTTACGGAATATGGAACATTTTTTAAATAAATATAATGGTCATATGACTGTTATAGGACCCAAAATTATTCAGGTAGGTACTCACAATTGGATTTTATTGCTTAAAAATTTGCCAGAAATGCTCAAATCAAACAGTTTTTCCTGATGCTAATGGCATCATTTTAAGTTCTTAAAAATAAGTCATTGAATAATTATTAGTATTAAAATGATTATTTTAGATCTGTGATATCAGTTGATGTAAATAATGTTGTTATTCATCAATTGATGTAAATAATGTTGTTATTCATCAGTTGATGTAAATAATGTTGTTATTTATCAGTTGATGTAAATAATGTTGTTATTCATCAGTTGATGTAAATAATGTTGTTATTCATCAGTTGATGTAAATAATGTTGTTATTTATCAGTTGATGTAAATAATGTTGTTATTTATCAGTTGATGTAAATAATGTTGTTATTTATCAGTTGATGTAAATAATGTTGTTATTTATCAGTTGATGTAAATAATGTTGTTATTTATCAGTTGATGTAAATAATGTTGTTATTTATCAGTTGATGTAAATAATGTTGTTATTTATCAGTTGATGTAAATAATGTTGTTATTTATCAGTTGATGTAAATAATTATTAATTATTAGTTAGTAAATAATGAGGTGATGTAAATAATGTTGTTATTTATCAGTTGATGTAAATAATGTTGTTATTTATCAGTTGATGTAAATAATGTTGTTATTCATCAGTTGATGTAAATACTGTTGTTATTCATCAGTTGATGTAAATAATTATTAATTATTAGTTAGTAAATAATGAGGTGATGTAAATAATGTTGTTATTTATCAGTTGATGTAAATAATGTTGTTATTCATCAGTTGATGTAAATACTGTTGTTATTCATCAGTTGATGTAAATAATTATTAATTATTAGTTAGTAAATAATGAGGTGATGTAAATAATGTTGTTATTTATCAGTTGATGTAAATAATGTTGTTATTTATCAGTTGATGTAAATATGTTGTTATTTTAGATCTGTGATAGGCTCAATGAATCTGTGATATCAGTAGATGTAAATAATGATTTAAGAATTGTTGTACAACAGAAAGGAGTGAAGGGACCACGGCAACAAGATCAAATATTGTTAGATTGTTATGTAAGTACATTGCCATACTTCAAAATATAGCAAAATAAATATCAAAATAGCAATAGCCTCCAAAAGGGATAAACATTGACATAATAAAAATAAAAATATTAACTAAGTGTTTCTCTCTGTAAAGGTAACAAACTCAGAATACCATAATTACAACATCAGCTTTGTGGACTTTTAGAATCGAATGCTGAAAGAAACAACCCAGTTACAGAGAGGCAATGTTCATCATGATGCCCTGCCTTTCCAAAATACATCTGCTTGTATCCAGAATTTTTTTAATGTAACAATATATGATATTTTATGACCACTATTCTATAATTTGACATCTCTGAATTTTTTGTAATAATGACTTCATTTTATAGGCAGAAGATTCTCAGTTTGCTATGAAAGCAGAACGAAGGCGTAATGCATTACAGAACTATTTATTATATTTACATGCCCATTTGGAACGGGATCGTAAAGGCAAAGAAGGTAAGATGATGGTAGATTCAAGTTCACTGGAATAAGATCAGGCTGCATATTCTTCAACCGATCTAAGCACTAGGATGTCCTAAGGTCTTACCTTCTAACACTGTTTCTAGGATGTCCTACAGTCTTAACTTCTAACACTGTTTCTAGGATGTCCTAGGGTCTTAACTTCTAACACTGTTTCTAGGATGTCCTACAGTCTTAACTTCTAACACTGTTTCTAGGATGTCCTAAGGTCTTACCTTCTAACACTGTTTCTAGGATGTCCTAAGGTCTTAACTTCTAACACTGTTTCTAGGATGTCCTACAGTCTTAACTTCTAACACTGTTTCTAGGATGTCCTAAGGTCTTACCTTCTAACACTGTTTCTAGGATGTCCTACACACTAATAATGCTAGTGAGACCATTGTTTAATTCTTAAGAGAAAAAATATGCCACGGTCAATGTTTCCGATAGTTTGCTGGCTGCAAAATATAAAATGTTTTAAGTTTCCCTTTAATATTTCAGGCACCCAAACGTTAATGGATGTTTACAAATCGAGACCTAACTTTGGTGATGCTGATGCTCAACAAGAAGTCATACAAAATTTAGAAAAAGTAAGTCAAAATTCCAACCGAAATTTCATTTAGGTCATCTACTTGATCAATCAATAATTTTTTTTTAGATTTATTTTATTATCCAGTTCATTGCTTTATTTCTTAATAATTAAATTTTATGAAAATGAAAATGCTAATACTTATATGAATAGAAAGTAGAGGTGTTCTAATGACTTTGAAAAATACCAGTTTGTCTCACATGTCCATAATTAATTCATAATTAGCCAAATTAGAAAAGAATTACCAGCAGAATTCCAAGGATTGACCCATCAAGAAAGGTCAAAAAGTCTTCATTTTGTTTATCGAGACTGTTCATACATGGACATTTATGATTGGTTAAAACTCCTAATTATATGCAATAAGAACATAATGATATGATTAAGAATACATGATAATTCATTAGAAATACCAATTAATCAAATAGTTTGCTTAATTTGACACTAAAAAATAAGGAAACCCATCTTTAAAGATTTAATAAAACAAGGGGGGCACACTCTCTTTTCTCTTTTCTGGGGTCGGGGTGAGGGTGAGGGGGGTGGAAACATTGAAATTGAGCTGTGAACACTATTACTAATTGGCTTAGTTTAAAAAATTCTGTTTCTGAGACTAAAGTATGATTGGTCAAAAATAAATGGCACATCTGTTTATTTAAATACAGTTCATTAGGAGTAGATTTCATATAACAGCTGCAGAGGATTTATGCTGTAATAATAAGCTTTATGATAATTGTGATAAGTTGCAAATTTAGAGTTGACAATATTCTTACTTGCATCGAAAATTGTATAGATATTTTCTTATTCACCTTTCAGATAACCTATACTCTCAACTTCTTAGAGGCCTCCCATTATAAAATCTCAAAATGTCTAGCCAAGCAAGATCAACGAACTATACCAACTCATAAATTTGGTGACTATATAGAAACCACTAGAGATAAACAGGTGAGAGACAAAGTAAAAATATTCATGATATATAACAACAAAGGTTCCGTACATATACCCTTTTATATATGATACATGAACAGGATTTTTAAGATGTACCCATGGAAAGCAAATATTCTAGTACTTGTATTCTGAAGTTCTTTCTCAATCTAATTCTTTTCTTGATTTTAAAGAAAGAAAAAAACAACTATGTTCTACTAGAATAACAAATTAGGTTCACAGTTAAGGATCCTTTCTACCAGCTGGTCCTTGGCCAAACCTGGCATTGATCATTTCAGGATTATACGTACCCATTTACAGCTGGGTCGACTGGAATTATAAGTAAGATGACTTTACAAGCTTCAGTGCTACAAGCTGCCAGAGTCTTGTTAAGTGCTGCATATTTCAAATATGACCCACACTGTAAATGGGTACGGATAATCCGGGAAAGATCAATGCCTAGAGGTTTGGCTAAGGATCAGCTGGTAGAAAGGATCTTTAACCATGAACCTAAATTGATATCTTTGTAAAAAATATAGTTGTTTTTATTTTCTTTCAAGTGTAAGGCCCACACTTAACTGATTCATTCTTGTTATTTTGTGTTATTTTGTAGAGCCATCTTGTTCATATTAAACGTGTTATTTTGGAGAGCCATCTTGTTCATATTAAACGTGTTATTTTGTAGAGCCATCTTGTTCATATTAAACGTGTTATTTTGTAGAGCCATCTTGTTCATATTAAACGTGTTATTTTGTAGAGCCATCTTGTTCATATTAAACGTGTTGTTTTGTAGAGCCATCTTGTTCATATTAAACGTGTTATTTTGTAGAGCCATCTTGTTCATATTAAACGTGTTATTTTGTAGAGCCATCTTGTTCATATTAAACGTGTTGTTTTGTAGAGCCATCTTGTTCATATTAAACGTGTTATTTTGTAGAGCCATCTTGTTCATATTAAACGTGTTATTTTGGAGAGCCATCTTGTTCATATTAAACGTGTTATTTTGTAGAGCCATCTTGTAAGTACACTACGTCTACCAGTAGATCTGGCACTAGAAGGAAACTCTGAATATAGTTATTCTGCTGGTTCTTATTCTGGTTCTACAGAAGGATATTACTCAGAAGTTGACAACAGACACGACGACTCTTTCTGTAAGTTTTTAGTCTTGCTATCATTTAAATCTTTGGTTTTGTTTTTAAAACAGTAATCTTTTATAACCTAATTATTTTTGGGACTTTGTTTGATTGTTTGATTGGCTAATAATATCTGAGTGTTTTTGTCATGGTTGTCATAAAAGACTTAGTTTAAGGGGAATTGTTCAGATAGAGGGCCAAATGAAAAAGAAAACGTTCCTTGGTAAACAGAGGTTTAATAGAATTAAGCATGTGAATCAAATGTTTTATAAGTATTTACATGTATATAGATTTCTTTTATAAATAAGCAGTGCAAGTCTGATACGAAAATTGGCTTATATATAATGCAGGAAGGGAAGGCTTAGAAAGGTGGCCTAAACTCTCTTGAATTCCAATTCTATAGTACCAAGAATCTATGTCTATACCTTGAAAGACTATTGTATCAGGTTTTTTTGCTATTTTGAATGTGATTAAAAGCCACATAAACCTGATACTTTTCAAACTAACAACCCACCGTAACTGACTGTTGTAGCATCTGAAGAAGAAGATTATGTAACGATTGGTAGATGTAAAGTTCTATATGATTATTCAGCTACTAGAGGTGATGAGATTTCTATTAAAACAGGTTAGTTGTGCTTTATTTAACTTTTGAAGTTTGTATTTTTAGAATGTTATTTTGTTAAGTATTTATTTAGTAAACATTCCATTTTTATACACCCACATCTCTCTAAATTCAGTATGTGTATACATATTCATAAAACGGAGATCAAGTTCAAATTTGAGCTATTTTCTACTGTTAGATGCAGAGATATTGCCCTTGCCCCAAAATCTTGAATATGCTATAAGTTTTCAACCGATTTTGATGAAACTTAAAATGGATGTTTCCGCATGCCGTGGTGGGCGTATATGGCTGTGGACCACTTTCTTTGTTAATATTTAAACAGCTGTGACTTAAAAAGTTTCTATTCTTTTGTGTAAAGAAAAGTGTTATTTAAGTTAAGAGAGAAGGAAGAGGAACTTTCCTTTGGGACATCCTTGTTCTGGTGTGTACGGCCCGACTGGTTTCACTTGTCTAGAGCTCTTCAGGGGCAGATAGTGTGAAATCTTTACCTCTTTATATGCTTTCTAAATGTAGAGGCTTTTTTGCGCAGGAGCTGTTATTTTTGGTTAAAACCAATGTGACATGTCCTGTTTAAAGATGGGTTCCCTTATTTTATATTAAAGATGGGTTCCCTTATTTTAATATTAAAGATGGGTTCCCTTATTTTCATTTATGAAAATGAAAATGTTAAAATTTATATGAATAGAAAGTAAAGGTGTTCTAATGACTTGGAAAAATACCAGTTTGTCTGACATGTCTATAATTAATTCATAATTAGCTAAATTAGAAGAGAATTATCAGCAGAATTCCAATGAGTGGCCGATCAAAAAATGTCATGAAGTCTCTTGACACTAAAAAACAAGGAAACCCATCTTTAAGATTAGCACATAGAAAAGAAAATGTGTAATATGAAAACGAAAACTAGAATATTGAATTTATAGAGGATATTTTTGTTTTTAGGGGAGATAATAAATATTTATGAGAAGCAGACAGACGGATGGTGGAAAGGAGAATTACAGGGTAAAGTTGGAATATTTCCATCAACATATATAGAAGAAATAGACACCAAGTTGTGATTGACAGTGTTAAACAGATCATTATAGCTCTGACATTTATGGATACTGAGATGTGATTCATACTGTTAAACAAACCATTATATATCGGATAGTTCTGGACTCCAGGATGTGATTAACACTGTTAAACAGACCATATATCTCTGATAGTTTTGGTTCCAAGATGTGATTAACACTGTTAAACATACCATATATCTCTGATTGTTCTGGACGCTGAGATGTGATAATACTGACACTGTTAAACAGACCATATGATATCTCTAATAGTTCTGGGCTTTGAGATGTGATTGAGACTGTTAAACAGCCTGAAGCAGAGATCAATACTTACGTTATTGACGGAAATTTTGAACTCTTTGAAAGGCCGAGTCAGAAGCATGGACAACATTCCAGTTAAATTAGATGATTGAAACTTCCAAGTGTTAATTGATTGATTCTTATATTTGGTATCAAAAGATTTTAAATAGGGTGTGATCCCTTTCGTTCATTTCAATTCACAATGTTCATTGGAACCAGTACAGCATCAACTATTGTCTGCATTATCTTGACTTGTGACCAATGCCAGTGATTATATAGTTGGTTAGTTGTAGGTAGATGCCAAGTGAATCCTGCAACTGATATTCCAGACTTACTATTATGATATTCCATTCCAGTAGGTTACAAAAAGCCAGACATGTTTCTATGTAGTTGGTAGATATTGAGACTAACTGTGTTGCACCAGTTTGAGATGTTTTGAGGTGTTTTGACCTGTACTGTCCTGTATCTTTTCTGATTGTTGAACTTTCATTATTATATCAAAGGAAAAAAATCCACATGCTCACATAAGTTAACTAAGGGTATGTGACAATGCAAAAAGATATTGATATTTCTTGTAAGACATTTTTTGTGTTGCCATCTGAGCATTTGGATCAATACATAAAATCAAGAAGTTTAATGTACTGCAGATCACTAACTTGTAAAAACACATAGAAATTTAACCCAATGGTTCTTTAATAACATTGCCAATAATTTTTGTTTCTCAATGTCAAATTCCATACTAACGATCAGTTTTAATTGTAAGAATTTTTAGAGAAAAGAGGAGCCTGATCAATGTAGGTGTCATACATGCTAGATCACATTATTATAGTCATGCACTTCCAGCATTATATATAGGGAAAGGTTTGAACGACATTTAGAAGGGAAGAGCACATATAACACAATACACAGAGAATATATTATAGTATAACACTGTACACACTTTGTTATTAAAAAAGGGGGTTATACCATAATATATTCCCTTGTTTTTAGTTATATATATTGGCTAATAAATATTCATAAGACACATAATAATATATAAATAATCATAACATCATATGAATATTCATGAGGGTATTTCATGTTAGTGATCTCGTCAAACAGGGTATAAATATATAATCTAGATGTTATTAAGTCTTCAAGCCTCTGATGGTTATTTTGTGGGCTAGTTGTCCTTATACTGATAGCCATATTCCACATGCCTTGAAAGGATTTTATTGTTCACTACATAACCAGTTAAGGTGCGAGCACACGAGCGGTCTGTGACAGAGGTTTTTGTCGCTGATTAGAGTCTTGAGAAAAATCTCGCTTCCACGACAAGATTATCACGTCCCCAACAGGTTTTATCATCTGCAAGATAGACCATCATCATCCAATCAGATTCATTTTCCTTTCAATTGCATGCTCCTTACATAATTATTGACAAGGTGGAGAACGACCGACTTGATATTTTTGTCTCCTCATGTGCCCGTGCCAGTCGTTGAAACTCAAAACAAGACTCTGATCAGCGACAAAAGTCTCTGACTAAGACCACTCATGTGTCCCAACCTTTAAGAGGCAGTATTAAGAATGTATATGTACAAATATTTATATCATTGTCTTAAAGCAGAGTTCAAACTGAATGTTATGTAGCTTGACCAATCTGGTCCTACCGCTCCTTGCACATGATATACCAATATGATATTGCCACATTGGATCATCATAACATTTTGTGTCTTGTCCTAAACAGGCCAATATCTCATCTGTCCAAGGAAGTGTATGGCAGGTTTGTCAGGCTACAAATGTTATTATGGTGATAGATCTTTTCCTTTTAAAGATGGAGTTTTTGTCATTAAGTTACATTTTCTATCAGTTTTAATAATTTATTTTTTAACTCTATGACACAAAATAGTCATTGAGAAAGATCAATGTCAATCCCATTTTATTTTTTTTAATCAGAATATAAAGAATATTAATTTTATATTTTAGTTGTTGGATATCTTGCCCTTTTAACATGTGTTCAATTTTATTATCATTTTATATCAGTATGTTCATGGTATGTTCATGGTATGTTCATGGTATGTTCATTGTTAAAATCTTGTAGTACAGCTATAGTCCCAGATAGGACAGAGTATCAATTCCCATGATTTGTATATACCATAGTGAATATAGTGCACATGATTAATATGAATCCCTTCTTAAAATTTGAGAAAATTTGCAAAAATATCAAAACAAACTCATATTAATACCTCAGAATCTCATGTAATTCTCTTCTTAGATGACAATAGAACAGGTCCGTTCTTCTCCAAAACTTAACTAAGATAAAATCCAGATTTTAAGAAATACAGTTATCTGATTGGATAATAAAACTATTTAAAATCATTTTTAGTGATTGACCAATCAAATGTCTGGAAAACTAAAATCATTTTAAGTTAAGTTTTCGAGAATAAGGCCCGCTGTTGATTTGGCTCTATTTGTCAGACATGACTGACAGGGTTGCTCAAATGACTGATGGTCAATATCCTCTGCCAGACATCAAGCAAATTCATGAAGTAAACAACAAGGTCCAGTCCAGGATAGCCCTTTATGTTACAAACATGATTTGTAGAAATATAGAGAAGAATAACTTACTCTATATATTACTGTAAAATATTCACTGCAAAATTTTATAGAAATCTACCTACATCTGGATTGAAAGTCACATTGTTGTCTAGCGAGATGTACAAAGTCTAGTAATTTCATTAGCTCATACTAACTAACTCATTCAGTCAGCTTCCACTTCTTTTATAGTAATTTTAATAACAATTTTACGTTTTAAGGAAAACCATTGATTATTTTTATTGTTTTTAACTTTGTAAATATATATATATAGTAATGATGTAATTTTAGAGAATTGTAAATAGATGATGTTACAACATGTTAGATATTTTATATATAGATAATAAAACTCTTTTATAATATTCTAGCAAGTCTTCAGTTAGTTCTCTCTTCTTCTCACACATCCATGGTCTAAATAGTTCAAATATTGGACTCTGAAATCCTATTTGAAATAGTCTGTCAATATTAGCTTCTGTTGGAAGCAGATGTAATTCTATTTCAAATTGTTTGCCAATAATACCTTCTGCTGGAAACGGACGTTAATTTGTCAACTACCAACCAACCAATCCTCATCAGTGGCTGAGCCAGGTTTATGTCCAAGGGGGGCGAAATATCTGAGATTTCCCGAATTTCTAACCTAGTTATGAGATTTTTGCCCCGAAAAACTTGCTTTTGGGGCTGTGAGGGTGGCGGGGGGCAGTTGCCCCTTCTGACCCCCCTTTGGCTCCACCACTGATCCTCATGTCAAAACCATTTGTCCATGGATTCAGATAACAATTTTTCTTCTTGCAAGTTCTCAGTAGTCCATAGTCAAATCTTGACTCCATTTGGGAATGTAGGCTCCTGAACAGGCTGTTTTAAGGCTTATATATGGATTTTGGAATTTTGCTCCCCTCACTGAGTTCCTTTCAACAGCATGATGAAATAATTTACTTTTCTAATCCATGCGAAATATAGAATATTCTATATTGTCTGATAATCTTAGTGTATGAGATATTCGTAGTAACTGTTACCTGAGAAACAGAGTTATGATAGAGGCATAACAATCCTCAAAGCCAAGGGCAATATTATAGAATTGATTGTTTATTTAACTGTGGTCTGTAATAAATTACATAGTAGTGTCCCTTTTCATTTTACCAGGGAGAAATATTTGTAGTCTGGAAATTGTAAGATCACATGACTAGGCAGGGCTGATCACGTGGTTTATCTTCCGGCCATTTTGTAATCGAGAACTTCCTGTTTGTGATTCACTGTAGCAAGAAAACAGTTTTTCCTCATAAAAATGATCCTGTTAGAATTCCACAATCGAATTGTTCAAGAAACTTTGATCAGCAAATTTAAAAATGCACAGGAAGGGTATGTTTTTAATTTTAACTTAGAAGTTAGTTAAGTCAACGAAAAAGGAACAATTAAAATCTGCCCCTCCCCACCCCCAGCCGAAATGACATCTGTCATTTATACGAGCATGTAGTCTGATTATTAACGTTACTTGAAATGAAGAGTAATGTCTTGTAACTAGGTCTTATATTTATTAAGTTAGGATGAGGGGAGTGGTAGGTTTTATTAAAAGGTGCAGTGACTTCTTTTGCACCATTCTCAAGCGTAAGGCCTGACAGTGATAATAGCTTCACAGCTGCCAGCTGACCTATCAACTTCACCATATATAGGATACGTTGTCCCATTAATGGTTGAAATTATTCACAAATACAAAATTCAGATGACATTGATGATTCACATGCAATTTTGGCATATTCTCAATTATTCAGTATTAGAGGAAGAGGAAGTAGGCTAAATTCCCTCAAATAAGTGGTGTAGCTGTCATTGCAAAATTGCCCCTTTGCACAATAAATAGCATATTATAGGACATAAAGTTTTATTAATAAAATTCAATAATAACACTCCAACATAAAATATTGTGAGAACTGACTATAAACAATGATGAAATAACGTCATTAATTTTATTTTACCATTTTTGTAAAGGAAAGCTCGTAGGTAAGATAAAATGAGTTTGAATGGGTGTGCTCCTTTTACGTTGTCCTTTCACGTTCGTAAATGTAAAATGACTGTGTGGAATTGTGAACTCATGGAATGATATTATGGTTTTTCTTGTGAACACTCTGCTATTTGTACCACTGACATTGTGTGTTGCATGCTAACTTTCTACTCTTTGATGTCGTCACCTGTGACCTATTTTTGGAGTGTGTTTTTTTTAATAAAATGACTAAATCTGGAATATTTGAAATTAAGCGCTTTTTAGATGCTGTAGCCTCCATTGTGACTTCTTTGTGGTCTGAAATATTTAGTAACATACTACAATAGCCTAATTTTGGAAATAAGCCTGAAATTGCACATAACAAAGTAGCAAATTGATGGACATATTGACAGCTCTGGCATGTGAAAGTGTTGGGAATTAATGTAATAGGCAAAAAATAGTGACTGCTTCTTGTCTCTGTTGTGTGGGTGTTCTTTCTTCATCTGGTAGTGTGGAAATAAGACCAGAGTTTTAATCATATTTTACTAAAGAGTGTAATGCATAAGCTGACCTTCTAACCATTGTTAACATTCTTAAAGAGAGTTAATCTTCACATTATATACATAGGTCTCATGTAAAGCTATGCAAAGAAAATTTGATGTTGTTATAACCTATGCTATTTGACAAGTTTAGTAAGGATGCTACTGCTAGGTTGGGATGTTTCTTATTAATTCTTTGTTGTAAATTTTCAGGTCCAAACCAGACACTGTAGATGTCACATGTGCAGGTATGTCTTAGATTATACTTCTTATTTTCTGGTTCGGATATTATACCAGTACTGGGTACTGATAAACACACACTGTTGTAGGAGAGATGGTTTAACAGAACTTTTTAGATATGGACATTCCCTTTTCATGTTTTCAGTACCGGTATACATGCATTTTCATGTGCATTATCCTAAATATAATGAAATGAATGGAGTTTTACATCCTACTTTTCTGCACCGTGTTGACTAATGAAGAAGGGTGAGCTGGGTGAAACTGCTCATCACCAAAGCAGTTACATGAAGAGAAATTAGATTTTTGGAACATAAGGTCCTTTCTTATAGGATGGGTTTTTGTTATTAAGTAGGGCCGATATGAAATATACAAGTATTGGAATCACAGGCCTATCAAGAACATTTATTATTTTTCTCTGATTTCAGATTTTGACGGTGTTTTATATCATATCTCTAATCCTGATGGAGATAAAAACAAACTTCTTGTAAGTAATCTGAATATATTTACTATATAACATTAGCTATGTGAACTCAACAGATTGAGTAGTCAAATCTTCAACTAAATGGTCATTCAGCAAATCTTCATCATCACAATGGTCAAGGTATTATGGACTACATCTTATACCCTGACTACAATAGCCACCTTTCTTGTATCATGGAATGCATTATACGCCAGCAAATACAGTCGATCATAGCAGATTAAAAAAGTTATGGTATATTGTTTACAGATTTTCCGTAGAGAGCTCTGATTGGCTGTATATGTAACGTACAATCCAACCAAATCGCTCTATTTGCAAACATCTGTGATACAAGAAAGGTTGTTATTGCAATGAAGGTATAAGAGGAAGTTTGTTATAGTTGGTGTGGTGCCAGACATGGTATACTTACCTGATACCACTTTTCATTATGAAATACTTATTCAATAATAATTGATATATTTTCTCATGTGAAAAGTTCATTAGCTACGACCAATGTGTGTTTTATCAGTATGTTGTTTGGATATCAGGTTTCGGTTTACGGTTTGGATTGTTAGTTTATTTATTGATATTGTGAAGATAGCGAATCTCACGATCTCTCTCATTGTTTTCTCTCATTGTTTTTATTGTTTTATTATAGGTTAGTATCTCTCTGAAGTTCTATACTGATCTCCAGGCTCATGGTGCTGATACTGTAAGTATTACTATTGACCTATAGTAGTTTTAAATCCACTTACCAGGGGTTGAAGTTGGTAAAAAGATATTTAGGAGCTATTGTATCTTATTAAGAGGCACCATTAAACCCTTTGTTAGTGGATCTTTTGACATCGGTGTCTACTAAGAGAGGTCAACTAACACAGGGTTTAAATATTGAGTGTCCAATAACATGAGGTCCATTTATGAGTGGCTTTGTGTTGAGTGTCCTCTTAGAAGAGGTCCATTTACAAAGGGGTTTGATGTTGAGAGTCCACAAAAAGAAGTCCACTTATAAAGGGTTTGGCATTGGGCGTCCACTAAGAGAGGTCCATTTACAAAGATTTTAAATGTTGAATGTCCACTTATGAGAGGTTTAATATTGAGTTTCCTCTTAGGAAAGGTCGATTTACAAAGGGTTTAATGTTAGGTGTCCACTACAAAGAAGTTCAGGGTTCTCAGCTACCTTTTGTTGAAAAAAGTCTCTGAAAAATGCCGCTGGTAGCTGGAATTGAGATTTTTCTGTTGGTTAACTGTTGACAATATCTGTTTAGGTTACATCTGATTTTAGATTATACTGTATATTGATGATATCTTGTTGTGTATTTTAGTTGATAAAAAGAGAATATTGTGACTATTTGACTTCACCTGAAGCAGGTAAATATTATATACAAATATATTAGTATTAGTAATTTATAGATATTACCAAGTTGTCAGACCAAGTTGCAGAGTGTCATTAAGTTTTTAATAGGCTAAGAGTCAGTAAATTACAGCAGAACATTTTTGAGCTACAATGAAAAACAACTGACAAATCTAACTTGCAATTTTACAAGACTAGACTAGAATTTTGTAAAGTAGCTTTCTTAAAGACAATGTAAAAGTCTCATAAGGTGGAGCTGGTTATCCTTTATATTAAAGATGGGTTTCCTTATTTTTTAGTGCCAAATTAAGCAAACTATTTGATTGGTGTTTCTAATGAATTATCATGTGTTCTTATTGCATATAACTTAAGAGTTTTAACCAATCATAAATGTCCATGTATGTACAGTCTGGATAAACAAAAAGACTTTTTGACTTTTCTTGATCGGTCACTGATTGGTATTCTGTCGGTAATTCTCTTCTAATTTAGACTAATTATGAATTAATCATGGACATTTGAGACAAACTATTATTTTTCCAAGTCATTAGAACACCTCTACTTTCTATTCATATAAGTATTAGCATTTTCATTTTCAGAAATAAAAAGAAGGGAACCCATCTATAATAATAATAATAATAATAAACAATGGATATTATTTCTTTATAAATGAAAGATTTGTCTCATAACTAACATTGAATGTTATTCTGATTACAGGTTACAATGTTTCACTATTGTACAACTTAGAAAGCGTTCCTCAAGATTACGAAGAAGTAGCCAAGAAAGCTGCACTGTTAAAAAGAAACTGTTTTGCTTCTGTATTTGAGAAATATTTTGATTATCAACAAAAGGGAACAGAAGGAAGAGAGAGAGCTGTCATCCATTATAGAGATGATGAAACTATGTAAGTACAGATCGAAGGCTGTACCGGTACCAACCCCCAAAAATGGCCCATCTGTCCCGTTAACTGTTGAAGAAAAAAAAAAAATTTTGTACATACGAAAAGTTTGTATTAGGAGAGGGAGTTATATAGACAAAAGCCTGTTCCTTTTCATATTTATGTGAATGAAATATTGAAAAACAGTTGTGTGTAAAAAAAATTGTTTTTGTCAGAATCATTTTTAAATTGACACCCTCCCAAGATGTGATGTGGCTATCATTATTTGATATATTATCAATGGTTTTTAATGATTACAATATCTCTGTATAACCAATATATTTTATTTGTAGGTATGTAGAAGCTAAGAAAGATCGTGTAACTGTTATATTTAGTACTATATTTAAAGATAATGATGATGTAGTCATTGGTAAAGTTTTTATGCAGGTGAGTGAAATATTTATATATAAATATTCTCTAAATATTAACTTTAAACAGCTAACAGAGCTCAATTTTAACTGTTCCTTTCTTGGTTCCCAGCGTGTTTTTTGCATAGTATGCAAAACGTATGAAATTTGGTGATATTGATCAGTTGTTGAATGATGATTTTGATCACAATAGTAGTTCCTGGTTGCGGCACATTAAGCAGACCATACTTACTCTTTCGAAACACCTGATGGTACATCTCTTAGGAGGAGTCCACATACAACTTGTACAGTTTTGCCATACTTTGGACGCGATTTTTGATTGACGGAATGGTCCTGCTTGAACAGATTCTTATTCATCAATATCTGAAACAATTTAAATGGCAAATATTATTGAATCATCCACCCTGAATGCTAATGGATATTCTCTTTAACATTTGAACTGTTATAATTCAGGAGTTTAAAGAAGGTAGAAGAAAATATCAACAGGCTCCTCAAGTATTGTTCAGTCATCGTGAACCTCCACAGGAATTACAGGATACTGATGCTAGAACTGGTGATAATATATGTTATATTACTTTTGGTGAGTAATATTCCTTGTTACATGTAATAATAATTATTTCTTTATACAAATGAAATAGAAATATTAACACAGAATCTGAAACATCTTTTTACTCAGAGTTTTAACATGTTTCAGGTTTTTGTTTTATTATAGCGAATTTCAATGTCGCACTACAATTGATGTACATGTATTGAATGTTAATTAAACAGTGAAAAAATAATTATTTATTATTAAAATTTGAAGTATTTTGGACACTGTCTCTAATATTTGGAATATTGGACAGTATTCCAATGACACTCAAAATTGTATGGTTTGGTAACCTCCTGTCTGCTTGTTCTGGGAATCCAGCACCAAGTAAAAAGTTGGTACCAGGTTTTATGAAAGTCATTCCTCCTCTTTAGAGTTCAGTAATGAAGCAAAATTTGCTAAGATAGATTGATTGATTGTTGATTTTTGATTGATTTTTGATTGATTTTTAATTTATTTATTTATTTATTTATTTATTTATTTATTTATTTATTTATTTATTTATTTATTTATTTATTTATTTATTTATTTATTTATTTATTTATTTATTTATTTATTCATTCATTCATTCATTCATTCATTCATTCATTCATTCATTTATTCTGTATTTATTTATTTCAGTATTGTTCCCTCGTCATACATCGCCTGCAGCTCGTGATAATACCATCAATTTAATACATACATTACGTGATTATCTTCATTATCATATCAAGTGTTCCAAGGTTGGTTTGTTTTTAAAGAAAATAGGGATTATATATTTTTCTTCTGCTCCAGATTGTGTTTTATGAGGCTGAGAAATGCTATACAATGTGCAAAAGGAGAAAAATATAACTGGAAAACAGCATTACTCTTTTTTTTATTTTAACTTTCAGGGCCATGTCTTTTTTTTTGTCTCATCTGAATTATTTTCAATGTCAGCTTTTATGACCTTTATCACTGACAGCAGGGAACAAAAATCAGATCCTTTGCTGGCTTCAAATGCTCACATCAGTATACTGAAGTGAAGAGCCAGAAACAAAAATCAGATATCAACTTAACCTTTGTTGAATTCAAATACCCTAGTAAATTATTAAAGATGATGACTTAGTGAATCTATTATGTCCAGTTAATACTTAGAAACACTTGAATGAACATTCTCTTTAATACTTTCAACATTTTTTAATTCCAGGCATACATTCATCAAAGAATGAGAGCCAAAACATCAGACTTCCTGAAAGTTCTAAATAGAGCCAGACCAGAAAATAAAGAGAAGGAGAAGAAGACTATAACTGGACGTACCTTCAACAGAAATTAGTTTATATATTTTATGTTATTGGATGGTACATTTTTTATGTCAGAGTTTTTTTCAGCTGAAAGGGAGACAGTTGTTTAAATATTTGATAAATCAGGGTTTTGATTGAACTTTTCATGTCACTGTCTAGAAGTAAAAAACAGTTGGTTTGAAGTTAAGAAAAGCTTATCAGAGAAGTGCTAGTAACCCAAGCACCCAAACATTAACAATTCTCACAGACTGCTTCTTGTTACCAATTACAACGACAGACTTAATGAAGCTTATCTCAAAAGTAATAGAAGTCTAAACACCAATGACAGAATGGATTTCTGAATTCTGCTCTGAAAAGTATTAGATATGAAAAGCTTATCACAAAAGCTAAACATCAATACTGTTTTAATTCTCAAATGAGTTAGTTACTGATGACTGATTTCTACTTTGAAAAGTATAAGGTATATCTGAAATAAGCAAATATTTGAACAATTCTTTCCCTTTTTGGCTTAAGACAGAAGAACAAACATAAAACTTACTGTTCATTTGAACAAATTAAACAACAAAACTCCAGTCAAAAAGGATTTTTTCTTATTTTAAGGGTTTTCTTTGAATTTATTTTTTAAGTCGACGTATCATGAAAAACCAATGAAGATTTCTGCTAGATATTGAGTTTCAGAATTTGAATATTAGAAGCTTCAACAGAACTGTATTTTTGTATAAATAAGCTTAATTCTTTTGATAATGTGTCACAAAACTGCATCTATGTATATATTGAATTTTTTTTCTATTATCTTGCTTGCGAAAGGACAAATTCGCAAGATGGCATTGGAATACTTCAGAAGTGTCAGGATGCCCTTTCAAGGCTTGACCCAACAGTGGCGAAGCCAGGTGTATGTCCCAATGGGGTTGGGGCGGGGAGGCGAAATGCCCGAATTTCTAACCTAGTTATGAGATTTTTGCCCGAAAAACAGGCCTTCGGGGCAGTTGACCCCTCTGTCCCGCCTCCCCTCCCGCCTCCCCTCCTTGGCTCCGCCACTGGCACTCAAAACAAATACCTCACATAGACGTAGAAAAAGAGAGAGAGAGAGGGGTGCTACCGTTTAAGAAGTCCAGGCTTAAAAGATAAGATTTGAGGGTGTCATCTACGCATTCCAACTCACCCCCTCCCTCCTGATATAACTAGAAGATATATTTAATGACATATAAATTGACTTAAATTCTTCTATTATTTAATCATTGCTGTCTTACCATCTATTTCATTATATAAAATACTTATAAATAGTTATATATAACATAGTTGTTCTTAATTCTATACTCTTCATGTACCGTATATTTGCGTGTATAATGCGCAGGTTTTTACCGTAAAAAGGTCTTGCTTAGTGTTATTTAGGGTATTAAGGTGATTTCTGTACAGTGTCATTTTTCTTGAGTAGTATTTGCAATAGTAAGATCATGATGTCCGGTCTCGTCGTTGTTTTGGTTTTTCCAACATATGTCTAGGCTAGTCGTAATGATGCCAACCCAAGTGGTACAACTACCGTGCCCCACTTTTGCACATTGGGCTGGTTACGAGCCTGCTTACAAGGTTAAGAACATAGGGCTACGACCAATAAGCCCAATATTTTGGACACGAGTGCACAATATAAAACCGATTTACAATAAAATATTTATTAGAACGTAATGGATATGGACGAACAACATACAAACATTTTGGACGACATGAGAATATATCCTTTACAATTTTATTCAGCAGAGAGTCTCTTGTTTTAAAGCAATTAGCCTGAATGTAGAAGCTAAAAGGTATATAGCCGCAAACAGCCTACCGTGAAAGTTCCGCTAACCCTCTGCAACAGGGTTGCCGATGATATAATTGTTCGCTTGCAGAATTTTCCTTAAGTAGACCTACTCATATCACTTTTGAGGCTGAAAATCTGAAGTCTACAATTACATTTGCAGTCAGTACCAAATAATATGCCATTTATATACAAGGCGCTCAATCATATTTTCAACGTTTCAATATTATCACAAACTAACGAAAGTTGCCCTTTCCCTGAAATCTTTCTAATACCGCAAAGTTTTTGTTTTTGTTTGAAGCGCGGTGGTCCGATGGATATGAACGAAGTGGCGTGCCCGCTTTGCAGCCCACCCCCTTTGCTCGGCCCCCCTCGGCTAATGTTTTCAAGACACGCCACTGTATGAACTCCATATGATTTGAAGACGACAGTCTGCTGTTACTGGGTAGAATGGTTGATGATTGGAAACTGTAAGATAAGTATGCACGTGCGGTAACAGTCTGCTTCGTTTCCAGGTATGTTAAGTAGTAACTGAAACAATATATCGGAACGCTGGGATATATGCTATATTGAGAAGAGAAGCTGGAAAATCGGTTTCAAAGAAACTGCTTGGGGATCGTGAAGGAAAAGAGTTGCACTCTTACGCCTATGATCAGAAACATAATCATCAACTATCGTTGGCATAAAATAGTGATCACATCCGGTGACATTCCATTTTAACAAACGACCTGGAACCCATCAGTAATACAGTAATACACTCCTCTAGTTTTTAACTTTACTCGAATTTCGGTTAAACACACTGTGTGAAACCAAATCGTCGCGATATTTTAAGTTCACTATCTTGTTACATTTCTACCCGTATTCAAACGTCCGTTTTGTCCAACTCGACTGCGTTGCGTTTTAAAGCATGTTTATAAAGATCATCGGACCGGTCGATTAGTCGTTCTACAGTTCTGTGATCGTGGACATGTTCCTGACTAGAGTGGAAGTTAGAATGAGCTCGATGTGGCGGATAGGATGTCTTTTTCCAAGATGAAAATAAAGTCGAACGAGTTAACATTAAGTGATCACCCATCCGATTTTTACGTCTGTGCCACACGCGCTGTAGTTCTTTATGGACGTCTTCATTGAGAAAACAGAAGAGAAACGATAAAATAAAACCCTGAAAGAATAAAAACGTATTTTTGACAGTTCCTGGTATTGTAACAGAGTGCATTAGAAGTCTCTTTTGGCCTTTATTTGTTTCGTTCAAATTTCCTGTTTGCAATCGAATGTTAACCGGATTTTCGACAATAGGTTATTGCCAATGTCAGTTGGCTATATTTGGAGTCGGTATAACTATAGGCCTGAGCAAATTCTTTAAATGACATTTAGCAATATGTAAGCACAATGTACAGGTACATCCTGGGGGAAACACGTCGAAACGTTGCATACAACTTTAACCAGTGATTGTCGTTCCATAAAGCTGTGACCATGGGGATTAAGCATCTTCAATACCCATTCAAAGGAAAAACAACGCCAGTGGGATAGAGTATTCACCTGGAACCAGCATTATGTGCTCCATCAGATATTTCTACCTTCCCATAGAGTGAATCCCCTGTTTCCGCTTGTATATAAGTGTACTTTACCTGAAAAGAATTGTACGTCATTTCCGCGTATAGATAAGGTATATTGGTATGACCCTCCTTCTCTTGAACTGCGTAAAATGCGATATAGGTGACCCCAAAAAGTGGTATTAATACTAGGATGAACTTGGTCAGTTTTCTGAAATGGTAAACAGCATATATGAGCAATGACTCAAACTTAAGTAGATTGACCCCCCTCTCCCGGGCAGTGGCGGAGCCAGGTTTACGTTCGAGAGGTGGCTGTTTATGAGCTCCAATACAATAACGAACGGTCAACTGTGAGAAAAACAGAAGAGAAACGATATAATAAAACTATTGAGTTCTTTTGGGCATTTTGCGGATGTTGAGCGCCGAATGCTGCATCATACTACAATAAGTTTTGTTGCTGGTTTCTCTATAGGTCATGTATTAGTTGTTAATTGTTGCATTTACAAACTTCTGTGATAAAAGAAGGGTGGCTATATTTTCCAGTCATTACAAGGTATAATATCGTAATAACTTGACATTGTGAAGATGGTGTTCCTCTAGACCAGTGGTTCCCAAACTTTTTCAGCCTTCAAACCCCTGGAGCTATCATTTGGACCATTAACATCCCCAAAAATTTGTTTCATCCATATTTCCAGTTAATTATTTACTCTACGTACCTATAACTTTGACCATTATGTTGATCACGCGACCTCATTCTCATGCACAGCATTCTGATGATGTCAACAAAAAAGAAGATGTTTACCTAAAAAATGTAATAAACAATTAAACATATTGATAATGTGCTGTATTGTATCGTATGTGTTGTGTTAATTGTATTGTTATGTGTTGTTGTTGGTAGAATTATACCATGATGTGCTATGTTGTGTTGGGTTGTTATATCATGGTATACAGTGTAGCCAGGTTCATTCGGTTTCCGATAACCCGGAAACCTCGATATCCGCACGCTTTTTACTGGGAATATCTGTTGTGTAAAATTAACGATAGTTCGGTGATCTGGTTTATATTGTTTTGGAGTAGTTGTGCTGCGTGATGCAATTGTGTCTTTTATTGTAAATGTGTATTATATTATGCTGTGCTATGATATATCGTGCTCTGGTGTACTGTACCACAATCACCTTTACTGTGCTACATCGTGTAATATTGAGATGTGTTGTATGGTGGATTGTGCTATGATATATCGTGCTCTGGTGTACTGTATCACAATCACCTTTACTGGTTACAGCGTGTAATATTTAGATGTAGGATTTCGCTATGCTGTATCGTGCAATGGTGTGGTGTATTGTATTACAATGTTACATTTTCTGTGTATTGTATTACAATGTTACATTTTCTGTGTTACTGTACAGTGTATAATGTGTTTTAAAGCAGATTGTGCTGTTACGTTGTAGAATGAATAATATATATGCGTATTGCATTGTATTTGTGATGTGTTGAATTGTATTGGTTGGATTATTTAAACAAATGCGAATCGGTATCGATGATTTCAAGTCTTAAAACCGAAAATGGATTATCATAGAATTAGAGAAACAAAATTCAGATTCAGTTTTACGGAGACTGTCGAGGATTGACGAATGAGACTAACTCGATGGTGATTTCAGTCAATCTTTCTTCATTTAAATTACTATATATAAATGAAAATACTTACAAAAATAACGATTATTCCCGGACCTTTTAAAATCCAAAAATAATACGCATTTTCTTGTACCGTCCAGCAACTACAAAACACAATAACAATGGTTGTTGTTAAATACAAACAGAACAGAGAAAGTTCTATTTCGATTAGTTCGGGCATCAGAGCAAGTTGAAATCAATCGAATATATATTTTTGTATTGTTATTAAGGGGACAGGTAGGCCATATTTTGACCAATCATACTTTAGCCTCAGAAACTGGAATGTTTTTAACTGAGGTAAACAGTAATAGTATTCACGGCCAGCTCGCCGTCGAAATTTTAGTCTTCAAATCCACGTTTGTCCAGAATTATCTGTGTTTGATGTTAAAATGACGACTCGTCAATTTAGGATACTCTGTGATATATAGAAATAGTGAGTAAAGTTCCTAGTTTGAAGTATTTTTTAAAGGAATTATGCGGTTTTCTTACATTTCTAGAATATTTACCTATGATGTTATATATAAGAAAGAAATACTCACTATATATTTTCTAATGTGGTTTTAACAATTACCCATGGAATGATATTTAATACTGGTAGGGCTGAAAAACAGAACTCAAACTGTTAAAAAACATGTTGAATTATGTTATTTCCAGATATACTTGCTAGTTTGAAAGAACCCTTTTTATATTATATTGCAATCAATCGATAAATCGTTACTAAATATGTTAAAGGGGAAGATGTGCTCAGTGTTCACCGCTCGAAATTTGAGCCTTCAAATCCATGTGTGTCCAGAATTATCCGCTTATGAATGTTAAAATGACGACTCGCCATTTAAGATACTTTGTGATATAAAGAAAAGACATATATAGTACTTCTGAAGACTATTTACATATTTTCAATACTCAAATCAACCCCAAAATCCCACAAGCCCCCACAAATAGCCATTCATCCCTTCAACAACGAAAGGCCATGGGAAGGGGTATGCGACAAAGACCATAGGCAAACTAGAAGAATAGATTCTCGCATCGTAAGTCGCTGTCCTTGAAACATATCGATGTCTCTATTTTTTATTTGAAATGTTATGTAGTTGAGGGATAGCGAAACCCAAAGTATCACAAAGACCGCATCTTTGTTTGTCGCTATCCAACAATTCGTGACTCAATCAATTATAATTAGATAGATGTATAGAACACATTGGTATACTTACTCCAGCCCAAGATGATATAAAAACTAACTCCTTTCCGACCTGTATAGAATGGTTTGTGTATTAACATATATAAATATAAACCCTCTATAAAGATCCACATGTGACAGGCGCAGATAGTAAAATGAAATAAGCTGACGATCAGTCGACATTCCCAATGCTGAAATGATTAAGATATTAATAAGGTGTTTGTTTTAATAGAGGACATATTGTGCTATACCTCGTAACTCACTGCATTCAATATTAATACACAATGATAAGCTGGCCTGATTTCTAATATATTGATACTTTAAAACATTGAGGGACAAGACTTCCAAATTTGAAATGCACCAGCAAACTCTGGATGCCTCAATTAACCTTATCAAACTCATGTTCCTTAAAGATGGGTTTCCTTATTTTTAAGTGTCATATTAAGCCAACTTTTTGATTAATTGGTGTTTCTAATGAATTATCATGTATTCTTAATCATATCATTATGTTATTATTCCATATAATTCAGAGTTTTAACCAATCATGTATGTACAGTCTGGATAAACAAAAAAAGACTTTTTGGCCTTTCTTGATCGGTCACTCATTGGGATTATGCTGGTTATTCTCTTCTAATTGAGATAATTATAAATCAATTATGGACGTGTGAGACAAACTGGTATTTTTCCAAGTCATTAGAACACCTCTACTTTCTATTCATATAAGTATTAGCATTTTCATTTTCATAAATGAAAACATGGGAACCCATCTTAAAGCATCTGTAGCATATATTGCTTATATTCTACGGGTGCTTTATCAAACCCAACCCTTTACAGCAATGTGTATTTCAAAAAGGTTTTCTAAGCTTTTTATGTGAATGGGGGCAATATCATCAATTTGCACCATTCAAATTTTCAGTCAAATGGAAATGTAATTTTAGTGGAATTGTAAGAACCACAGACATACGATTGAAAATTGGATCACGCGAATTTACAAAAACCTCTTTAGAATCTCTTTTAGTAAATTATCGAGGATATGATTCGATCTTATAAAGGTTCTTAGAACACTCACCGTGCCTTCTTCTATAAAAGTTAATTTTCCTGTCGCTTCTTTAATAAAATCAGACGCCATGCCGATTCCTCCCATGACGAATAGGTTATCTCGGACTAAGGCGATGAGAGACCGTAGTATTAAGGCGATAAATAGGTTTATATGTAGCACATTGCTCTTACTCTGGAGGCGTCTGGAAAAGATAAAACACCGTAAATAGTTTTTATAGACATATCTGTAGGTTGCGGACATATACAGCACTAAAATTCTTGAAAGAAAGGAAGAAACAAACAATTATATTTTACAAGGATAACAACTAAGGTTCACAGTTAAGGATCCTTTCTACCAACAGGTCCGTGGCCAAAGCTCTTGGCATTGATCTTTCCCGGATTATCCGTACCCATTTACAGCTGGGTCGACTGTTATGAAAGGCCGTCAGCAACGAGGAACGACGCCTTTGCTTCAACAATCACTAATCAAATGTTATGCAACGTTTCTATTTGTTTGTTCCGGTATGACGAGAGAAACACGTCGAAACGTTGAAAAATACCTCAACCAGTGATTGAATAGTGTATCTATCTGTTAAAATATTTGGGGGAATTAGAGGGATTATAATTTTAAAAAAAAAATCACATAGAGTCATTCCCAAATATTGTTTCGCCCAAAATTAGGCCGACCGAAGCTGAAAAATATTAATTAACACACATCGTTAGGATTTAAGAGACTTTTCCGGTAATGTTAAGAAATATTTTAGCTTTAATTCAGCCAAAAAACGTCTTGAGAGAAAACAATCAACGCCACGTTTCTTCTTTGTCTTTAAGGCATTGTGACGTCATAATCAGTAGCCTAGCTGTTTCGACCAGATAAGCTGCGTTTTTCAAGTTCTCTTGAAGATTTCTGGAGTATTTAGGAATATTTTCGCTATGCCGATACAAACCATGAAAGTTCCTGTTGTTTTTGAGGTGGTGTTCAGCCCGACATCGGACGATCTTGTTCCGTGCCTGGTTGGTTCGTTGAAAGAATTGGGAACATGGAACAAACTCAATGGTATTGTGGCTAAGAAAACCGACGAAGACTCTACGAAATGGAAAGTGGAATTAGAGATTCCTCAGATGTCGTTCTTCTTCTTTAACTGGGTGATGACGACAAATGGAGAGTTTTATGAAGAAGAGCCTACGGGATGCAGAAAAGCCAATGTAGGCGTTTTTGGAGGTGTCTTCAAATCCGAATACGGAGAAAGGTTAACTGAGTTCTCTTCATTTTGCGGATGCCAAATTTCAGTGAGCACTCATTATGTCCTGAATGATGATGAACAAATCGTAATGATGGGATCGGGAAAGCTGCTTGGAAACTGGAAGACCTGGGTTCCTGCTGCTTCCGACGATCGTCTAACTTCTGTGTGGACAGCCGATTTTGAACTCGAGCAAGGTACAACAGAAGAATTCAAGTGGGTCATTTTGGACAGACAAACACGAGAGATACGACGATGGCAAGAAGGGGAAAATAGAATCATCAAGATTGAAACTGGACTGAAAAATAAAAATGTGTTTGCCCCTTGGGGTGGAAGATTTGTGAAGGAAGGGCTCATTATTCCAGATGTTACCGTCGGGGATTGGAGTGGTAAGTTAGTTTTATTTTGTCCGAGTCACGGATGGCCCAGTGTACCCGCATCTTCCTTGTTTGGAAGAGGGTGTCTTCGTCTTTGTGCATTTCTGTTTTATCAACAAACGGGACGACTTGAAAGCAGTAACAACGGTATTTTGGACACCAACAACATTTCGGACACATTCCCATTAGTCCTTATTTCGGTTTTTCATTTTTCATCTTGTTTTTTTTTTCTATTTCAGACTACCATCCTCAAGGTTTATCCAGATCCTTAACAATCGACTGTATGACCAGATACGACAACGATGAAGTAGAGATGAACAACTCTAAAGTGAAAGATGAAGATTCCAAACTTGCTTTAGAAATGGTGCCTAAAATATCATCTGTAGATTGCGGACAATATGTAGCACTAAAATTCTTGAAGGCCATCAACAATGAAGAACGTAATATTTACTTCACTACTGATATACTGACTGGAGCGTTCGGTTCCAAAGAAGTCACACAATTTCATTTGAAACATCTGAGAAACTTGATGGTTCCGAAGACATCTCCGGGACACGTTGGGAAGACATTCAATACAGAAGAACAAAGCCTTTCTTGCTTCACTGTGGATTTGACAGCTGAAGTCTTTTGTCTTAAAGAATTGATTAATGCTGATGTAATTCAACTACAGCTAGCTAGTTTAGTCGTTACCAGTCCCTTTCCAGTAATATCTCTCTATATTGAAGAGGAGAGGCAACTGGATCTACCATCATTTCAAAAGGTCTCGAACGTGTTAAAACCAAATCCAGAAGAGTCAAAAAGCTTTTCATCTTCTGCCAAGTTTTATTTTAACAACGATAGAACCATAGTCAGCAAAGTTCCTATTCTTGACAATGACCTCGATCTGCTTGAAATAGTTATCGGTCATGATGAAAGTCTAGAATTTGTGGACAAAGTTGCCTTTCGTGATGGTAGCCTGGGTATAGAGGACAGGGTTTCAGTTCTTCATGGAAGCTTAAACTCGACTGACAGAGTTACCGTTCTTGATGAAGGTCTGGATGTAGAGGACACAGTAACAGTTCTTCATGGAAGCTTAAACTCGACTGACGGAGTTACCGTTCGTGATGGAGGTCTGGATGTAGAGGATAGAGTTACCGTTCTTGATGGTGGCCTGGATACAGAGGACAGAGTTACCGTTCTTGATGAAGGTCTTGATGAAGAGCACAGAGTTACTGCTTTTGGTGGAAGCCAAGATCAGAATTCTGTCGGAATTGAAAGGGATCAGATGATGGAAATCACCTTTTCTGATGATATGGTAACACAGATTCTAAACTCTCAAGGTAAGAGTGTGCTGTTTATAGAAGAGAAATCAAATTTCATTACAAATTGATACCTATATCATTACTATAAACTGGGCTACAAATCACATTGTTAGGAGTCCACTTTGTAGTAACTTGTTATGTTCTCTAATATTTGCCTATTGACCGTTTACTTTGATTTGGGTTAATTGTTACAACTTGTTACAGATTCACTGACCAATCGTACCTTAGTCTCAGAAACGGAGATTTTTTAGCTGAGCTAATCAGTAATAGTATTTACATCTCAACTCCGAAATTTGAGCCTCCAAATCCATGCGTGTCCAGAATTATCCGCGTTTGAAAGTACAAAAGGCGACTCGTCTTTTCTAGAGACTTTGCCATATATAGAAAAGACATAGATATAGAAAGTGAAATTCCTAGTTTGAGGTATTTTTTGTACATTTCTCAAACTTCTGAAGACTATTTTCATATATTCAAGACCAAATCAATCCTTGAAAATGGCGAACCTGTCAATTTAAGTATTGTTTGAATTAATTTAATTCTATTTCTAATGAATAATTTGGATTTTTCTTTTCAGAAGTTAAAACCAGTAGAAAACAAGATTGGTGTGGACCAAGACAAGTTATTTACAGTGTGTTTATTGGATTAAGTAACTATTGTAGTCGTTTTATGTCTTAAAACTAAACTAAAACTATCGGTTTTCTTTCTTGAGAAAATAAATATATGTAAATACTGTGATACGTGATATTTTTCATTTTATTTTTACGAATATTTTCTGCTATATTTTTACTATTTTGCTCTGTGATTAATGTATTGAGACCTATATTAACAGTAGCATTTTTTTTATTCTCTGTTTTTATTTATCTATCTACTTATTTGATTGTTTATTTTTTTACGTTTTATTTATTTTTATTTTTTTTATTTTTCGGTTAATTGTGTCAAAATAGCGCCCATTGCCCAAAACAATACTTACAGAGTTAAATATTATATAGAAATATTAAAACAGAATATATTTAATTAAAGTTTTTGATATTTATTATATATATTTAAAGTATATATATTTGATACTGTATTTTATATTTTAATTAAACTTATTTCTAGCTTACATTTGTCTGTTTCCTGCTTTGCTATCCCTTTTATCCCTAGAGACCCTTTACGGTCAGGAGTTTTTTGTTTCCCCGAACTGTGTAAGAAAGTTGTGGGTTGAATAAGCCAGTTGTACATGGTGCTCTTATACAGAATAAATAAATAAATCAAATATATTTTGAAAGACAAAACAATCTTCCAAAAACATTGTCCTGATGAGGGTTGTTTATCTTAAACACGTGTCGGCAGCATGGGATTATTGACATGAGGTAATATCCTAATGAGATGCCAATGAGTTAATAGTTGTTTGTTATTTAATATAGAGTTACGTCCCTTGCACCAATATTCATAGTTTAAAGCTGCCATGATTTCATATAAAAAAAAAGAATAAAATTAGCATTTTTGATTCTTATTTTTAGTCTTCGCCATTTGGTTTGTCATTCACTGAAATCCATACCGAAGTATGTTTATTAACCAATTCTAACGGCTATCTTAATTTGAATGGGGGTGTCAAATTGTCTAACACCTTAGAATATTATCAAAATTCATTCAGCCTATACAAAAATAGTATTATCACTTATCAAGTTGTTAAGATGTATAGACAAGGCCCGTAGCTACAGGGGGACAAGGGATCAATGACCACCCTCGTAAAATGTATTGCACCCCTAAAAATTTCTGACAATCGATCAATTCCATTACTACAACTATAAATGCCATACACCATTTGCCCTCTGGACATATTACTTGCCCCTCCAAACAACCAATCTGGCTATGGTTCTGGTAAAGACGAAGGGGGCATGAAAGCCGACGCCGGAATCACTGGCACAGGGTATAAGAGAAAAAGTTAAAACTTGCCTACAGAAAAACATAATAATAACAGCTATAACTAAACAGAATAACGATAAACCATAACCAGTGGTATATAATAATCTTAGATTCTTCTCTACCTCTAAAGTTTCATCTAGTTTACCCGCCTGAAAATAAACAACAGCGGAATTTATATATACCAAACAGACCGTAAACATCATGGATATTCATGGTTCACATGACATCACCTATAGGACTTATAATTAACATCTAATTACTGAAGGCCTACAAATACATTTCAAGTATCATGTTGTAAAGAACTAGGTTTTATGTGTGTCATAATTTAAAGAAGTGAAATTTGCTCGATCAGCACTATTTTGTACACATGTTGATAAAACAATTCTTACATTAACAATATACTGAATGTCGATGTTACGTCGAACCATTGGTCGTCATGGTTTCCTTTTTATTCTGGAGACAAATTGATATATAGGATTACTACTTCTTAAAATGGACACAAACTTAGTCAACAAGGACTTACCAGGTGCTTTTAAGCGTGTTTAAAAATTACTATTATTATTATTCTGTTGTATAATTATGACACCAGGTAAGTCTGCTAATGAACACATACTCGGTTAGGCCAAGTAAAATCTAACAGGTAGTATTGCGTTAAGAACGTGTTTGATCTGTACTTACCCCGGTTGTAAAGGTACCTCTAGGTGGTTGACATAAGGTAAAATTGGTCCAGGGTCGGGTTTTATTGGGTAATGAATACCACGTACCATTCTCTGTACATCTTTTATACGCATACTCTGAAAAATATAATCGCTGGTTTTTAGATAATCAGTAGGACGTATTATACAGAACAGAAAACACAGATTGCATCGATCGAAGATCGAGGTCAAGGGTTCAATACTTTCGGATTTATCAACCCGGTTTCTCTTTGCCAGTGATCAGTTCAAATGGGAAAATAAACGGAGGTCCCGTGTGCTACAAGCATGTTAAAGATCCCCCAACAGTTGGAAATCGAAGCAGACTAATGTCGCTGTACTAGCAAAATTTTCTTCATTGCCCCCTTCAAAGGATACAATATAATTGGTCCGTCATGAACATAATACCGATATCATGACGTCAACAGCAATATCTAGATGAGTGGGGGCCCCTCCTCCCCGGAATTTTCTTTTATGCCCTCCCATACATTTTCTTAGGGTTGGGGGCCCGTGAAATAGGTTCCACAAGTCCCTATTATAATTGAGCCACGGCTGCCTCCCACGCATCTGTCGTTACCATCGCCGTTGAGTTTTTATTTAACTGTAGGCTCACTGCCATCGTATTCCGAATGAGGACGTTGACAGGCTTTTTAACGAGGGGGTGTAGTTTGGTCACCCTGGCATGCTGCTATCAGATGGTAAAAAGGTCAGTCATGAAAATGATAATAAACTAAAATCTCATTAATCAGACTGTGTTGTTATTAAATCTATTTCGTCTTTTAAAAACTCAATGACTAATTTTATTTCATTTAAATTTCAAATTACCAAAAAAAGTCTAATTTTATTAGAGTTGGTGTTATTATTTGGCTAGAACTGACAGATACACGCTCAAGTTGGTTCCGATTCAATGAAACACGATGCACCTCTCGTATCATTCCATCTTTATATATGTTTTCATTGAAAACCTGCCAATTCAAATACAAAATTTAAACTTCTGGCATTATCATTTATATTTTAATACGATAAACATTCCCGAGTCGACAGCTAACAACAAGCATATGGCTTTGATTTACCGATTACAAATCAGTGCCAAGAGTTCGATTTCAGATATTTCCTAAACACTTCATAGAACAAAGGAGATCTGATCGAGGAAACAGGGTGCAGAGATCGGGTTCTGTTTAGTCTGATCGACTATTACTTAACGTTTACTTTGACGATTTCCAGGTGTACGGAAAATCCGAGATATTAAGGAATAATAAATCAATCCAATTGCCAAAATAAGCATGATGATAATTAAAATGTTTACAACTTCCAGGTTAGAGGTGTAATATAGTTGTTAGATGAGAAAATGATTTGATGTAAAAAAAAAATATATAAAAATTAGAAGAATATTGGGTGTCTGGTTTCCTTTTCACAAAAAAAAATCAAAAGGATCATTTTTAATCGTAAGTATGGTATTTCTCCTTGTAAAATCCATATTTACAACACATTCTGAAGTTTTACGTCCTACTCTTCTGCACCCATGAATCGATGATCCGCAATTCTTTCCTTCTTATCGATGCATTGCGTTGGATAAAAATAATCGTGATGTATCGGCACGATTAACTTTAGCCCCCGTTAGTAACAAATGACACAGAATCCTTCTGTGTATAAGATATTGTGTCATGTTTTCATTTTACAAGTATGATTTTCACATCAAAATTTTAAAAAATTCATTTCTAACTTTTAAAAATTGAGATTTTTTACAATTTCTCACTTCTAAATGGAATTTTTACAAATTTCTACTATTTTCAATAAAGCGTTTCGTTGGGTGAGTGTCGTATACTCGGATCTGGAATCGTTGCAGCTCCAGCACCTCAAAAAGTCAGGAGATACTATTATGGACCTTTGCTGAAATCAAACCCACTCAAATAAAACGTTTTAAAATCATTTAGTTTTAGCGGACTTTTTGCCAGAGAATATAAACTTTAACAAATGCTATTAAACAGAATTCAACCCTACAGACCTTTGCCGGAATCTATCCCTAGACAGAGTCGCATATAAAAAGTTTTAAAACCATTTAAGTTTTAGCGGACATTTTTTTTGTAATAAATATTAACTTCAACGAATTGAACAAGCCTTCAAACCTACCGATCTACGCCGGAATCGCACCTAGTACAGAGTCTTTACAGCTTTCAAATCTACTGACCTATGCCGGAATCGACCCCAGTTGAGAGTCTTTACAGCTTTTAACCCCACCGACCTAAGACGAAATCGACCCCAGTACAGAGTCTTTACAGCTTTTAAACCTACCGACCAATGCCGTAATCGCACCTAGTACAGATTCGCATGTACTGGTAAAGTTAGTCGGACTACAAGTACAGACATTTGTACTTAACGCCTTTTTATCGGTCGTTGATATTAATGCAATCTGTAATGGTGGTTTAACCGTGTTATTATAGAAATATTGATAACTTAAATTAGCAATTTAGGTCTAAATTTAACTTCTGAAATATTTCGATGGAGACTGAAGTAGATTGAATTTGTTTATTTTAACGTTTAAATATCTTCACTAAGAAAAACAAGTTCTCGTTATTAATTCATAAACATTATGTTATATTTAAAGCTATCTTTGAACTGAATTAAATCAACATCTAATTACACAAACATATACAATCAAACATTGAATTATTTTAGACTGTTTGTCTGCAACAGCTTTAACAAAAAGCTTTTAAACTATTAATATTTTACCAAGGAGCATGCACGTAAGGGGCTGGCATGGAAAAAGTGTCTAGTCGTTCGGATGGGACAATAAACCGAGGCCCCGTGTGCTACAGGCTGTGCACGTTAAAGAGCCCTCGACAGTTGGAAATCGAAAAACAGCAGGCTGTCCTGGCAAAATTTCCCTCATGGCACCCTGCATGGCGTTGCCCGTCTTCAAGGTGCAGAAAAGTAGGACGTAAAACTCCATTTATTTCATACCATTTTTTGCTTGTTAATTGCATTGTGGTGCTTCGTTGCCCGTTGCTTGGCGTTTTTTTGTCTTTTGTCTGTTGTTGTCGTTGTCCGTTGTACCTTGGCGTGTTTTGTCTTCTTTTGTCTGTTGTTGTTGTTGTCCGTTGTAGCTTGGCGTGTTTTGTATTTTGTCTGTTGTTGTCGTTGTCCGTTGTACCTTTGCGTATTTTGTATTTTGTCTGTTGTTGTCGTTGTCCGTTGTACCTTTGCGAATTTTGTATTTTGTCTGTTGTTGTCGTTGTCCGTTGTACCTTTGCGTTTTTTGTATTTTGTCTGTTGTTGTCGTTGTCCGTTGTAGCTTGGCGTGTTGTTGTTTGTTGTTGTTTGTTGTTCTGGTGTATCAGTGAAGTTGTTCTTTTTTGTTTGATATTCATTTATAGTTTTGTGTACTATTATTTAAATTGTGATGGCTTGTACATCTTTTGTGGCCACGTATTTGATCCAAGTAACATAATCTCTCATCTAATACACATGTACTTTTGTATTTGTTTTTACAAATTGTACATCGATATATTGTGCAGATTTGTAAAATAAAAAATTTATTATTGTGGGACTTTGCTATTATTATTATTATCATTATCATAACCCGCACTGTTATTTCAAAAGCACGTTGGCTTTAAAGTATTTATGTTTAGAACGTAAGATGTAGCGATAAAGTTATAAATGGCAGTATACAAAATTTTCATTATCAAAAATGTCATAAATTGTATACGTCTGCTATAAAAACATATGTTTAGAACGCGAGATGTAGTGATCACGTTAGAAGTAGAAATGGGAATTGATATAACTGATGTCTTTATTTGTTATATACGGTAACTAGTATCTTCTTTTAGTACCAATTCAAAACTAGTCCAATTTTTAAAAACACACGTTAGCTTTAAAGAATTTGTGTTTAGAACTCGAGATGTAGTGATCACGTTAGAAGTAGAAATGGGAATTGATATAACTGATGTCTTTATTTGTTATATACGGTAACTAGTATCTTCTTTTAGTTCCAATTCAAAACTAGTTCCGTTTTTAAAAACACACGTTAGCTTTAAAGAATTTATGTTAAGAACTTGTAGGTGTAGCGATAAATTTAGAAGTAAAATTGAAATTGTTATTACTGATGTCTTATTTTTTATAAGTTGGTATCTTCCATTCATTTCAAATTCAAAATTTCATTTTTTAAATACACAGTAGCTTTAATCAATGTATGTCAAAAACGTAAAGTGTAGCGATAAAGTTATAAGTAGAAATTAGAATTGCTATTACTGACGTGTTATCAGAAAGTTAAATAAATGATTATTTCACCTGTTTGATATTGTAGGTAGATGGTATGGTGTAGTCTAGGTTGTTACCATTATAGATAGCAAAATAACAGGATATTAAGATTAAAGATAGTGCCATCGATGTAATACACATTAATATATACATTTACCACATTACCCTACACTCGGTGTTAATTAATATAACCTGGGGGTCATATTAAAGATGGATCTATCTACTGATAATCTAATTTCGTTCTAACACGCATATATTTTGCTTCCGGTAACCGTGGTTATCAACGATTCATTTAAATTTAAGGACCACTCATTCAGAAAAAAATAAATTCTTATTCACTATTTGAATTTCAGAGTTATTAATGTATGACAGTATTAACTGATTTTGGCAGTTAAAATTGATTTTGACCAAATACGAACAAATTTGATAGTGATAGCACCACTAACTTGTTCTTTACAGCTTTTAAATTTTTGTTATGAAAGCTTTTAAATGTTTAGAATATATATATTATTGAGTGAGATGTTATGTCGTAACTCCCCATTTCATTTATGTCGGTGGAGAGCCGCGGTGGTTCAGTGAGTTAGACGCTTGCTGAAGGTCCAGGGTTCAATCTAGATCTAAGTCGAGATAATACCTTCTGATTTTTCAACCGAGTTGCCCCTTGTCAGTGATGTAGGTAAGAGGGGCTGACATGGAAAAAACGTCTAGTCGTTCGGATGGGACAATAAACTGAGGCCCCGTGTGCTACAGACTGTGCACGTTAAAGATCCCTCGACAGTTGGAAATCGAAATAGAGCAGGCTAATGCCTCTGTCCTGGCAAAATTTCCCTCATTGTACCCTGCAC